TAATTTCTATTTTAGAAATAAAAATAATAATAATAATAATATACGTGTGCACCAAATCCGTCACATTCACGTTTACCACACTATATATTTTTTATTTGTGTCTATAAATAAAGATTTCTCGTGCCACCCATTGGGTCTTAAGCGGACCAGAGTAGGTATCAGTTTGTCTTAACTCCCACTATTTATTTCCAGATGTCATCTCATTATTTGCATTTATTTATTTGTGCAGAATGACGGTAAGTGTTGTCAACCGCGCTGAGTGGATTTTTCCAACCCTCTGTTTTGTTTTCATTGTTGAGAGATGAGCAGTGGGACATGAAGTCTGAGCCGTGTGTTGTCAGAATCCCATCTAATCTGCATGTTTGTTTCTTAAACAGGGCATGTTCACTTATCCCCCCTTCTTTTTCCTGCAAATCGACAGGAGATGCAACCCGGGAGAAGTGCAATAAAACAAACTCTTGCTCTCAAAGGTGTGCGCGGCTTTGTACCGGCGCGTTTTGCCTGTTAGCTGCACATCCTCCGTCTTTTCATCTGTCAGTTATTCCCCCTCATGTTTTGTCATTTGCTCTGTATATTCATTTGTCGCCTGTTTTTTCTTTTTCCAGTGCCTGCATACACCCGCGGTTGTAATTAAATTTCTCCCTCAAATGCGACAAAGGCAAAGCTTTTTTGTTGCTGTTCTGGGATCTGTTGGATTACTGACGTGATGTTGAGGAGACCTGTGCATTTGTGCGTCCTGAGAGCGAGGCGGGGATGTGAGCTTTCAGTGTCCACTGCAGATTCATAAAAATGGAGAGGAATCACCTGCAGAAAAATGGGCCTTAAAGGAGGTCTGGAAGTCAGCCTGCTGCCACAGTGCTTGGAGCTCAATGTCCTCCTGCACTCTGAAAGGGAAGGGGGATCCGTGCAGGCTGCAAGTGAGACATCATTCCAGGAATATTCTATCAGTAATGTCTAAAAGCATCACAATAAACGGAACAGGAGTAGCTCAGACAGCTTTAAAGGTGCAAAAAAGGCCAAAGAAATAAAATGCCACATTCTGCGGCGATTATGCTGACTGCATGACTTTTATTTTGTTAAATTATCACCTTAATTCCCCGCTATTATTTTATTTTTGATCCATTTATTTCATTATTATTGCGTGTTATCTATTTCAGTGTAACCACTTTGTGTTGATGTGTCTCTCATCCTGGCTCTCAGAACGAAATGAGCAGCGCCCCCTGCCGTCCAACGGCCAAACCGCACAGTGGCATCAGCAGCACACATAAAGCTCATGGGCCCAGTGGTTACTAAACAGTTTTTAATCCCATAGAGCCGTTTCACACTCCTCTAAGTGATTACTGGATACAATCACAACCGTAAATATTCACTTTTTGTGTGAATGATTGCGGGATTTAAAGCACATGCTCATATTTTTTTGTGGAATACGGGGGGAGGGTGGTACCAAGATGGACAAAATATGACTGAATCAGTGTGGATGGGAGTCCATATTAAAGGGTGAAGCGGTTTCAGTAGTCCGGGTGTAATATGATGGATCACTACAGACACTATAGCCATAAATACAGACACGTTAAGATCTGATTTTTTTTTCTCTGGCTGTACCGAAATCCTCCCTGACTCGTCATTTCTGGCTCATATTCTACATTTCTCCCCTCATCCAAATCAAAAAGCCTCTGTGCTCGTATATACGGCATGTCAAGCCTCCAGTTTAGTGATGTTAAAAAAAAAAAAAAAAAAAAAAGGAGGTCAGTCTGAGCCCGGCGGGATGCAGGGCAGCTGCTCCCTGACCAGCTCCCCCGTCACACCTACTGCAGCTCCGGTTCTAAAGGCATTCGCTTGGCGAGTAATTAATAGGAAATAATGATGTTGCCGAAGGTGCGGCATCGCTACCGAGGACGTCAGGACAGGGCATATTGTTGGCTGCATTAGTAATCCCTTTACTGTAAATGACACAGTGCTGCTGCTGAGGATGCCCAGCCTGTCTGGAGGAACCTCAGCTGAATGTATAAGCAAAGTTAAGGAAAATTATAACTTGAATTATGCGAATTTTTTTGCACATTTTATTTTTTAATAAAAACGCGCCCATCAGCTACACCGCTTCTTTTGTTTCCAACAGTTTTATTTGGAACACAAATCCAACAGCAGACCGTATATCCTTCCTTCTCCCTGCAGAAACACTTCCTCCGACTCAGGTAATTACAGCAGATAATGTAACCGCACCATAACGCACTTGTCTGCCCAATTAGCCGAAACAATTATTGCAACTTTGACTTTAATTACGTCTCAATTTGAAGCCTGGCGCTGGTCTATAATTCAGTGATTAAAACCCTCTCTGCCCCAGTGCCTTTAGGGCAGCGCATGATTAGGACCTGTCAGCTGCTGCAGTGAACGGAGGCAGCCATGCGTGTTGTGCAACATGACCCGCTGTTGTTAAAGCTTGTCAACATATTAACCTGAATTCCCCAGTCATTATAGACTGAACTGCCTGCATAAGAAGGGGGAAATGTACACATATGTATGCGTAATTGAAAATACATATATATAGGCTAGTATTTTCTCAAGTATTTTAACAAGGAGCATAATGTCACATAATGTCCCAATTAGGGCCTATTATACAATAAAAGCTTGAATGAAAACCAGTGTATGTATGTGTGTGTGTGTGTGTGTGTGTAAGCTGCAGGCTTGTGGAAATATATCTGTTTATTATATATTTTTATGGCCAAATGTAACAAGGTCAAACAAAGATACTGTCAGACAGGAGTTCACACTGACATAAATATTACATTTTGTTGCTAAGAGTGAATCATGAGTCATTGGATATCTGGTCATTACATGTAGACAAACAAAAATAAAGAGGTTTGACAAGAGGGGAGAGACTGTTTTGGAAGGGCCAAAAGGTTCATCTGAAGCACATTTGATCCTTGTCAAAATATATTGATTCATGTTCTTTCAAGAGACAGTTGACGTCTTCCTTAATTTCTGACTGGCCATCTGGACTGACTGATGAGGGCAGACTCTTGTTTTCTTTGTGGGTTAAGAGCTAATGTGGCAGGAAGCCTAATGAGTCTGTTCATAACTATGAAAATGATTATTTGCCATAAAACTGAGATATGATGTGAACATTGCCTGCTATGATAAATCTGCAACAGAAAAGGTCAGTGATGTCAGTGTTTTATGTATAATCCAATGCTTCACGTAGAGTACATAGCACACTGTAGGTAGGTGGTTTGCATAAGTTTGCAGGAGTGGCCGAGCAGTGCATGCAGACTGGGCCTTAGGTTTTTATGAATTTCCCCTCAGCCACAATCAGTGCAACCGAGTTTCCTTTGGTGTATCCAGAGGTGAATAATTTATGGGAGGATAAAAGCGTTTGTGGTAGAGAGCTAGACAGTCAGACAGTAGAAGGAGCCTGGCTGGGAATCCCCCCCCACCCCCTTCCCTCCAACCCCTCCACCCCACCCCAACCGAGCTCACCCCTTGCCGCACGGTGGCCTTGCACGATACCTCCTCGGACGACTGCTTGAAGTGCAAATCTGTGTTCCAACTTGTTCCTGGTGCCTGTCAGCATGTTTTCCTCTTGTCAGCAGCGATTGAGTGTGGGCTCGTGTCACCCTTGTACCACCGCTGTAACAGGATCATTGACAGGCCAGTGACACTGCCCAACCAGATAATGGAAACCTATTGATTTTTCTTTTCTTTTTTTTTTTTTTTTTTTCTCTTTCACACAGGCAGTCTGTGGCACTTCTGAACAACTGGCCAAAGGACAGGTCATGATCAATGGTCCTGATTCCTGGTTCACTGCTGCCACAGACACTGAATGGGAAGAAAACACAACACTAGCTGACAAAAAAAGTCTTTTAGTTAATGCACACCTCCTCAGGATGCAGCAACATGTATCATAAAACTGTAAACTATTCAAATGAAATAACTTCTGATCCAAATTATACTCCATTGGCTAACCAAGTATACCAAAAACACAAAGTAATTCAAGGTTTTCCAATGTTTCCCCCTATTTTAATTTGCTAAACCAATAGCAAGTGTTACTTCTGAACAAAATGCAGGTTTTTATGTGTGTACAAGGACTGGCATTTGCAGTTTCAATGGAGCAATCTCCAGAGAGGAGGCCCCTTTGATACCCATGGCAATGATAAGCATGCATTGGCTGCCTACCATTGGACCCCCATGGCAGATGGTGAGTGTGGGTCCTGCAACAACACATTTCTTTATGTCAGCCTTGTCCCTCTCTCTCTCTTCAGCCAGTGGAATAATGAAAAGCCCAATCCTGGTCATGGCTAACTCAATCTCATTATAATCTCTCCTTTTTTATTCATTCGGCCCCTTGGGATGCTGTCTGCCAGCGATGTGGCTTTCAACCTCCAGAGAGAACATCTTTTGAAACAGCCAGGAGACCTAATGAAGTCACAGAGTGGCACAATTATTTCCCAAAGAAGGAGCATTAATGTACTTCAAAATTCCCCCCGGAGAAGCATGATGACAATTGGTTTGTACAGCTTTGATCGCTGCTTTAAATACTGCCCAAGATAAACTGCAGGGTTAGCCCCCTTTGCCACTGGTAAGTAGAAAACCCAGAAGTGGCTATCAAGCGCTGGATACATCAAATACTTAGCCTGTAACGCTAAAAACTGCAGTTTAAAATAGTACATAGCCCTAAAGTTACTTTCTGTTGGGAATAATGGTGCAAAATCACACTGAAATCTGTGTTACACCAAAATAATTACAACAAATAACATTAGCCTGTGGCAGGGAATAGTCCGCCATCACATAACACACCTTTAAACAACTGGAAGGGTCAACTCCAGCTGCATAACTCAAGCTGTGCTCTGTAATCTGAACTGAAACACACTATTTTATTAAACTGAGTATTACTGTATATTCGGTTGTTCTGCCATTTACAGGGCCATCATCACTACTGCAGACAATGAAGTAAACACAGTAATAGATTACACGATAAACACAAAACAAGCTCCAGTCATCTTCCATAAAATCCACCAGAAATTCATCTTTTGCTTTTATTTTGCAGAGATCATTGTTATATCATTACTGCCGTACCATTGCTGCCACTATTCACATTTACTCTTTTCTTAATGGTTACAATGATGCTGAAGTTAGGGATCCTTAAGGCGGCCTACGGAAACACAATAACTGCAGTTTCTGTTTCCCAAATCATAAAAATATCACTTCCCGTGCAGCAGATTTTTCCCCCAAAAGACCTGACAGTCACTGGAAGTTTGGAGCAGTAAAGGTTGTGTCATTACCATGTTTAAACTGAGGTTAAGTCAGTACTGTTACATCCATGAGTGACTGAAGGTAGGTATTTATTGACATGAGAATAATAATTTAAATACTTTAATATAGAATGACTGAACATAAAGTGGAAAACACTGGGATCATACATTGGAATAATATTTTATGTTCAGTTTTCAGTGTTTTGTCCTTCCTATGTTTCCGGTTGGCTTCCAAAAAGAACAAATGGAAAAAAAATCTGAAATCAGAAATTCTGTCCCTTATCTTATCCTTTAATTATGAATTCACTGTATATCCTGAATATCCAAAGATCTTTGGCTCAACTCTTCTTTTACATGATCTCACATGATGAACACCATTCTCTTGCATATTAGGTCTTTTGTTCTTCCTAAACCTCAGTCAGCTTGCTCAATTAATCACTCCAGTCAAACCTTTTGTACAGTCCACCTCAACCGCTGTATATAATCTCAGCACAACATGCTCTGCTCAATACTGTACTGTATATCCTCTTTATGTGGTAATTCACATTGTTAATATAATTTACCACAGCGTCACTAATACATTTTACTATATGTGGCTGATTAAGAATATTTCATTAAATGTATTTAAATTTAGTGACACTTTTGTATCATGCAAGTTTATTATTAATGTCACTGATTTCTATACAAACATTTATCTACAAAACAGCTGTATTAGAATCTGACTAACACTAAGTCTAAAAACTATCAAGCCTGAGTAGGGAAGTAAGAATTATTTTATAGAAATGTTTCATAATTTAATAACTTGTAATCATCAACACTCTGAATTTTACTGTACGTTAGGGAGCGCTACATTTCTACGATTTTAAAATCTCCAGTGTAACAAGTTGAATATTTCAGGAAAAATAAATAGAAATAATTACATAAAACACCTACAATGACATTTGGTCATTAAAGCTAAATATTTCTTTGATTTTCTACCAATATAGTTGTTGGCTTTTAATGCAATGTGAAAAACTATCATGGGCCACCCTTACTGAAAGCAATATACATTCATTTTCATTCAATACTGATGCTACAGCATATATTAATGAATTTCTTTCTAATATTGAGTAGAGTGTTTTGGCAATGGGTTCAACCAGACTAGACCACATACTGCAAAGGAGGACAAACTGTAGCTGTGCTTAGGAAACATTTGCATATGATGTGCACATAGAACAAGAAAAACAAAGTAAATGTCCTGGGAAAAAGACATTGTCCTATCTTCCAGTGATAGACCATGAAAAACCAGCACTTCAAAATGATATGTGATCTTTGTATATTGCATAGCCCGTTTTCCTGTCTGTATGGAAGTAGGAAACAGTTTCTGCTACCCTGCAAAATAAGTTGTAAACAAGTTTGTAGAACAGGTTATGGACATGCAAATGTGCAGTACCAGTCTTGTGTCTTCAACAAATTAGAACAAAAAGCAACCCATTTTGGGTCCGAACCTTTGGCATTACAGAGCCGACACACTGAGAAATAATTCTAACAATATGTTGTTATGTGTAGAGAGTTTTCCGATTATGAAAAGATGTTATCACAACAATAATAAGAGCTGGATTTTAGAAATTACACTGATGGTTGAAGGTTAAGCAGTGACACAACAAGCTTTCCCAACATAATGCAACATGTCATTTTGATTAAGAGAGATGCTCTCTCTGATTCAGGCACAGAGAGGTGAAATCCTTCAAAGCACCCACACACTAATGACAGCCCTGTGTACACTGCTTAACAAGAGCACAATCTTATTTTATGTTGGCTCTAAAAGAAAGTGAGACATGAGCTCAATTGAAATACTCAACCTCATGTATTTTGCTAATATGGTAGTGGCAACACTCCTTTGAACTTTTCTCAGTTCGTACATTTCTCATACAAAGAGAAAGATATTAAGAAATGTTTATTTTTGTAATGAGAAAGTTTTCTGTTTGAGAGAGAGTTAGACTTTGAGATATGTGGATATATACATATAATGAAAACATTTCTCATCACAACAAAATGTTTTGTCACAATAACAAGGCACTTTTTTATCATGACAAACATAGTAGAACAACGTTTTTCTAACAATGGCAGTTCCGCACTGCCAGACCAGCTTATTGAAGAAACAGATCCTAGAAGTTGCATTGGCTAAGTTGATAAGGCAAAGCATAACATTAAAATAGCATATAATAAAGTATTTGCTAATATATACATTTATTAATATTATTAATATATACACTATCAAGTAGTCTGGATTAACTATTATATATGTCTATACAGGACTAATCTTAAAAGATGTTTTGATTATACATATAAAGAGTGTGCAAATTCAGGCAACTGGAAGTTCTAGATAAAACTCTACTCAAGATCTGGGTGCTCACCAGACATGCTTATTTGTATTTTGTGATGAAGACCCAAAACCTCTACCATCCCTGTCCCTGAGTGGGGCACGCTGGTGTGCAGAAGGTGCCTCTGTAAATGCTTGATCCAATCCTCTTGGACAGACAGGGGGCCCTGGAAGACTAGGTCACAGAACCTGCAGAAATAGGAGGCAAAGCTAGTCACTGTTTCCAGAGTTAATGCACAACCATCTTCATGCAGTGTGAAATGTGAGCTATTCTTTACTGTATTGTTTATTTTGATTGTGATAAGATCTCTCCACCAACCAGTTACATATTCCATATGCACACGGATTGGCCCTGGTGAGTCAGGTGAAATGTGTGTGTGTGTGTATTAAGAGATGTACAGTGTGTTTGCAGGTGGGGACTGCCTTTGCAATTTATTAGTATAACAGAGAATTCTCCTTAAGAGCTGGCTAGTCTTGGGGGCCTAGAGAAGGCAAACCTAGTGTGTTACTCTGACAAGGGTTTCATACACCACTGGCATGGCTGCCTCAATTTAACCTAAAGAGAAGTTGTTGTCCACTGACTACACTTTGTGTTAAAAGTATCCCTCCATTTTCACTATTAAGCTGTTTCAGTGGTCTCTTTCAAGAGAACTGACTACACTCTTGAAGGAGTCATCACTCTTGTGATATGTGAAAAATATCATTCAATGTGGCCCATATCTGAGGTGAATATGGAAAGAAAATCTGGGCGACAACAGACCCAATAGCTGTGTTCCTCTCAGAAGAGCAAGATGAACATGGTGGGGTTGTGCTTCTCTAAGAGGGTTCCTTCAGGCAAAAAGGAGGTTGTACCGGAGGAGGCTAGTCAGGAGAGGAGAAACCTGCCAGTTTAGAGAGGGTTCGTTTACAGAGTATCTCAGGCCTTTGGGGTGAAACCCACAACATTTTGTGTGGGAATTGGGGGGGGGACAACCAGTGTCTATTCTGCAGCCTTTTATCTGAGATAAGAACTGGACTACCTCTTAAGACTGACCAGGAAGTCCATCATTGTTCCAAGGAGGTCTCTGGGGCACTAGTCAGGTAGCAGATTGTGGAAGACCGGTCAGGTCAAGGACTAAGGCAGACCTACATGGTGCTCTGGTGACTTAAGGGCCTGCTTACAAATAAACAAGCAAGGTAAGTGCAAGCAGAGTACGAGAGCCTGGGGTATGGTTCTGCCCATACCTGGCCCGGCAAGCCTTAGAGCATGGAATTCATTATCCCTGACCCTAACCCTGGGTCTTTTCAAGTACGATCCTTGATAGGATTCAGTTTGCTCATGGTCCACCTATGACCTGTGATCCTTGTAGATCTTTGTGATCTTGGGAATACCAGGTATTGTTCTCTGTATCAGTCTCTACAAAGACAGAGTGGAATCAGGATTTAAAATTACTTAGACAACAGACTACTGTGTGCATGGTCAGAGGACCAGTGCCAGGCTCAGCTCTGTCCTGGAGAAGGTGGGATCTTTTTCAGAGAACACAGTTCTGGACCTAATTGTGGATCCCAAACTGTGCTTTGACACTTTGGAATTGTCTCTCACAATTAATTTTCTTTCTCCAATACTGTGCCTGTCACTTATGATCCCACACACAGGGCATGGTGCTGCTTCCTTTGCTCAAGAGACTATCATTTTGGACCTGGGCCCAGAAAGGACAAAACTGTTAACCATAGCAATACCGCATACCGCATGACCTCCATCTACACACGTAGTTGGGAGAATTTTTCAGGCATGGTGCATGGAACACCCAGTACATCCTTACAGCCCATGTCATCCTACAGTTCATGCAAAGGCTCTTACATTTGTGGGAATGGCAGTGGTGGTTGTGCCTGAAGGGAACTCCAAACTGGTTTGCCAATTCCTTAAGGCAATCCATCACGAGTTCCGCCCTGGTATGAAGTTGATTCTCAGGGTGCTGAAGTAGGTTCTATTTAAGCTGCTGTTGGTGGGCCTCTGGTGGCTGCAAATAGACTGCCTTATCACTGGCACTGGCTTCTGCCAAAATGGTAAGGGAGATACAGTCTCTCTCTGAAATATGTGTACATCTGCCTAAGATGTGACCCGCTTCTACCAAGCCAATGTGAACTTGCAAAAAATATGAAAGGCCCTATCTTCAGCCTTTTGGTTTGTCCGTTCTGGGCTACTGTAGAAACATCGTGATTCAGCTGGAAGGCACAAAGGCGTCTGTAGATAAAAACAGCTTGTTCTAATGTAACTAAAACACAACAATGCCTATTTTCTGGTGATTATACACTAATGAAAACATACCTTGGAATATTATATTCCATTTCTGCTTTTTCTCATCTCTTTCATTTAGGGCCTACATATGAAATATGGAACTGGATAGAGAGTGCTCTCACTTCACTCTTCACCGAGAGAATCATGGTTACATATGTAACCTTGTACCTGCAGGTGAGTGTGTATATCTCAGCATTCAAGGAGGGTAAAATCTTCTTTTTTAGCCCAGGCCTTGGTCTTGGCTTCTTCTGTTTATAATCATAGCCTAAAAAGACAGAACACTGTGCTGCTTTATCTGAGGGATTGTATTAACTCATCATTGGCAGGAGGCATGAAAAAATAAGCCCAAAGCCAAACTATTATTCACTATTGACTATTGATGTTTACTAGTCTAGTCAACATCCATTTTTCAATGAAGACGTATGTTGGGGTGACAAATTAATTCACCTAATGTCTATCAATGCAGCATTCATCTCAAATATTTCTTCTTAATTTGGTTCCATAGATTGACCTCTTGACTCCTATGCTCAAACCACAATTTTCATTTCATGGCACAGGAAACAATCATTGACAATTTGATGTTGTACATTGTCAGAAACTTACCTGGTCCTTCAAAAATGCCAATCCTCTTCCTGTGTGCATACGCTCGAAGGTGACCAGGAAGCCTAGGGAAGTCGCTGTTACACTGAGTACAAATCTTATTTGAATCACATTTCCCTGAAAGACAGAACATTGAAGAAACAAAATCAAACTCGAACAGAATAAGACAAATGGGATCAAGACATTTAGGTTGAAATTATGGGACTATATTTTCCATTTGCTTCATCTATAATGGAAAATTTGATTGGATAAATTAATTTTAATACAGCTTAGCTGATGCTTCTGTCTCAAATCAAGTTTTAGGATCCTCAGATGTGAGATACTCTAACCATTGTAGGATAGTGTTTGAGTTCATGCTGTAATTTTATTATCAAGCAAAACTGTTACTCCCAGTGTGCTCTAAAGTGTCTTCTTCCACCTGGTTTCATTCTAAGCATCTGATTTGCACTTTCCTGTTTGGAAAGTGTTACTGGTGAAGTTTAACACAATTGTGTGTCTTCAGGGGGGCTATTTTCACATACACCACCTCATGAGAGTCACAGAGGATTCATAAACTACACAAAAAAAATCACAGATCTGTTAGTCCTATAACAGAAAACTGGCAATGACACTGCTGCGCACCATTGCCTGTTAACAAATAATCAAAAGATCTTCCAAAATTAAACACAATGTGATTTTACTTTTAACAAAGTAAACACGAAGAACAATTTCCCACTGATACAAAAATGTCAACAGAAAGAATATAGGCCTAAATAGTAATGAAAATTTGTTGGACTAGTTTATGAGTTGTCTTGGACTTGAGGTGATGATACAATGTGAAATACAACTCAAGGATCAAAATGTATTATCACCCTAATGGTATACTATAGATTGTAATCTATATCAGTTTTCAGGACAGGACTCACACAGCAGAAAGCTTTAAACTACTGCAGTTGCCACTGTAACACCATAATAATGGAAAGCCCCATACCATTCAGTTTAAAATAGAACTCAAAAAAGAGACATTTGATTTTAAATCTTTACCAACATCTTTTTCAGTACCTGACTAAAAGTTTGATTTGGACAGACATTAAACAAAATTGTGTAAACAAGGATGAGGCTTCCAACTAAACATCAAGAGGATCTCATGATTTTTTAATATGAACTTCAAAAGCATTTTGGCAAAATTCAATCTACTGTATGTGTATTTTTCCCCACAAATCAAATGATTGTGAACTATTCCCACACTGTTTAACTGGCTTCTACCTTCAGTATACAGTTATCTATAAAGAGATACTGAAAATGTATTATAAAATATTGATGAAATTCAGAGGAATGTATGTTGAATGCTGAATGTTAGTGTCAAACAAAGCTAAAAATTGCTCCCACTGTTAATAAGGGGAAAATATATGTAGTTTGACTATACCTACACTTAATTTTGCAATTTTTCATGAGAGGAAGAGGATGAATGGAGATATGGAGCGGGAATGTGATATACAAACATGGTGTAATTGGTACAATAAATTGTATTCCTATGCCAAGTAGAAATGGTCACTATTACTCTACTAATAATTAAATGAAAAAAAAATGAGAGCGAGAGAAAGTGACCATAACCAAACCCAAAATAATTTAAGGCATGTGGGTCTGCAACCAATAACATGCTATAATTTGATAGCTTGTACAAATATTTTGTGAACCTCCCAAACATTATCCATTAATAACAATAAAGAAGCCAGTGCAAAATACATGTTTTTCACTTTGAATAGGAATAACATGGATGATCCAACGGAGTAATAATTTACTTTAAAGACAAAGGATGAAGGGTATTGTTTTAAAAGGCTTCTTTTGTCTTAGGGGTAGTTATGCTAAATATTCACAAATTAGGTATACTTTAAATAAATGCTGACCATTTCCCAAGTTTTAAAGAATTATTATGCTACTGTACCCACTCCTGTCAAAATCAACTTGCAAAGAAACTATCCAAAGATGGTTTAGTAATGTAAGTTACTGTATGTGTATTGTATCATCTACAGTGTTATTATTGGGCTAAAACATGCTAAACCACCCACACGATCCTTTAAGAAACTGTTCAAACATGAAGTTGTTATCTAGCCTAGTGCATGCGACTCCATACCATGTGCCCAGTTTGCTTCCACACTGGTCATCTGTGTCTCCTCCATGTAATCTTTGGTCAAATCACAGAGCTTCCTGTTTGCATAGGCTTCCTGGTCGCTTCTTGCTGTAACCTCCATACTTTCCTGTCTCATCTTGAGCAGTTCAACTAAAGTGCTTGAGGAGGCCTCGGCGTCTCTTTGAGCTTCTACCGGAAGCGTCTTGCTTTCTGAGAAGGCCTCTGCCTCCTGTTTTGGTACAAAGCTGTCCGATATGGGATGTGGACTCCTCATCTCATACTGGATTTTCACTGGGATGCCCGTGCGCATCAGGAACAGGCCATTGCTGCTGAATAACTTCTGAGAGACAAAGGATCGTGAGGGGAATTGGCCCTTGTTGAGGACCTGGAGGATATTCCGATGTTCCTTTTTGTCCTGTAGCATTTCATTTAAGATGCACAGCGGGGACTTGCTGGTACTGGTAACACTTCTACCAATTCGTTTCAGATGTCCCCTCACATGATTCGAGAGGCCGGTCTTAGTATCAAACCAACCCCAGCACAGGGGACATGTGTGCTCTCCTTGGGTTTCTGGCTTAACAGCTGTAATATCAGATACAGTTTGTCATTAAAACTGAAATGAAAAAACAAAAACACTAAGCTAATATCTGGATAGTTTTATAATGCACAAGCCTTTATATATAGCATCTGTATGACCACTGCAGCTGTGAATTTATTGTAGTTATATCAATATTTCTATCACAAAATCAAACGACAATGTGAAAACAATGTGACGATGTGAGGGGTCGCTCATAGTGATGCACCCACAGAGAATTATCACCTGAAGCTCCCCCAACTCTACAGAGCTTTATAACTATAGCAGTCTGCCCTGCAATTTAACTGTTTTGGTTCACTCTTGCTGCTTTAATAGTGTCATTTGTGGCCACAAAAGGAAGGTGTTTTGACCAAAAAAGCTCTAAAACTTGACTATATACTACCTGCTCAGCAGCAAGCAGACACAGATAGCGACTAGCTGGTGAACATACAGACAGACATTTCCCTCAGGAGTTCTTAGACATAGAAACACAGAGCTATAAGTTGTCAGATGCGTAAACTTTGCTAACAAGTTTGCCACATCACCATAAAGGTGATAATATGTCACTGTTGTGTTCATGGCTTGTTTCTGCTGCCAGAAAAGGGGCTGAATAGGTTTAACCATCATGCATTGGTAAAGATTGTGGTTATGACAAATAGTTAGGGTTAGGCAATAAAAACACTGGGTTAAGCATGGGGAAGATTGTGGTTACACTAAATAACAAGACCAAAAGTCTACAACACCCTAGCAGCTCTGTGAGGCTGAACTTTGAGCAAAATGATAATGTCAGCATGTAAACTTGCTCATAATGAGAATACTAACACACTGATAAGCAGGTAGAATGTTTACCATATTAGTTTAACCTGTTAGCATGCCAACACTGGCCAATTAGCACTTAACATGAAGTACAGCTGAGGCTGATGGGAATGTTTTTAGTTATTTTCTTTAGATATTTAGTCACAACCTAAATTCCTGTTAGGAACACAGATGTCTGTACCATATGTCATTGGAATCCATACAAACGTTATCAGGAGATTTCATTTAAAAACTGTTTAAAACCTCATGGTGGCGCTGGAGAAAAAGTCAAGGGGCTAACCAAAGTCAAAAGGATTCATCCTCTGGACACATGAATATATGTAACCAAATTCCATGGCAATCAATCTCATAGCTGTGGAGATATTTCCGTCTGGACCAAATTGAGGACCAACTGATCCATAGAGCCAAATGCAGGTCTGTGACGGCTTTGCAAACTGAATTAATTTGTGCCTGTTTGCCTATCCTCTAGTAATTTAGTATGTTTTCTTCTGTAAGTGAATACTACATCATTTAAAAACACAGTACATATCTCCTTTATTAAAAATATTTTGTGTTGAGTTGTGTGTTAAACTGCCCATGATATTAGTTGAACTAATACTCATACCTTTTCTCATTTTCCTCATGCCACAGGGGATCCTTCTGCGGATTCGTGGCTGATGGTCCCGCAGAGCCACTTGTTCTGGTGAAACCATGTGCCGGGCGTTGTAGCTCAAGCCAACACGGTGGAGGTGCCCACGCACGTGATTGGACAGACCCACTCCAGACTCAAACATGGCAGGGCAGTATGGACAGGGTTTGTGTTCTACCCCTGGTGTGGGGAAAACATCAAAGCTGTCATTTAAAGACGTACAAGGCGACTCTGGGGAATCATCACACACTGTAGTTTCGATATACTCCTCCTTGATGACAAGTTGCTCTATGTCACTACAGTCTTCATCTCCATCATCTTCATTCTCAAGTACATGAGGGCTTTGGACTTTGGCTGACAACCTCTGCCTCTTTCTGAAATACTTCCGAGCATACGGGTTCCTTTCATTTTCGCTGCTTTCCAAGAAGCTGCCTGTAGCTCCACTGGTGTCATGACTGAAGTTATTGCTGCCCTCACAGCCTTTTTCTAACTCCCTATCTGCAGACTTGAGCCTCTGGCTAAGCCTTGGTGATATATTACCATGCATATTGTCAATAGTGTTATGCAAGGGGGTTGACATTTTTCTCATTGATGGAGATTTTTGCTTTGCTTGTGCGTGTAAACTCCCGCTTGCCCGTTCGTTCTTGCTACCCTGACAGAACATCTGGTCTAATTTAAGATTTCTGGCTGATAGTAAAAAATCAGTGCTTGCAGGACAGTTTGTCTGCTTTGAGCTGCCAAAAGCCTTGCAGTCATTGTTTTCAGCGTCTTCTTCCTCACAGGTGAGATCAGTTGCCACATGTAATTTTTCGGCTGGTTGTAGGAGTAATTTTCCATGCCTGTCGACTCTCCACAAAGACGGTGAGAGCATGTTTTTGGTGCAGCCAACATGGCACCTTAACTGAGGAGAATTTACAGTTTTGTCAGTGGACTCTTGAATATAAAATTCCCCTTTTTTACTGGAACAGTGGGGGAAATGGGCCATTTGTCCAAAAGTTGACTTAGCTGACAGATTTGGTATAGACCAGGGCTGGTCAGCAACCTTTTTATAATTACCATAGTGTGATCGCTGATGCTCCAGCTCAGAATGTCTTTCGAGTACTCCTTTGTCTCTACTAGTGAAAAAACCCATTTTATGCTGAACACGGCCTGCTTCCTCTGCCTCATTAGCATGAGTCCTTTTCCTATATTGAGGCTGGTGTGTGCTGAGGTGTGCGACATGTAAGTGTGCTTCAAGTGCCTGCTGTGTCAGTGTAATGTAGTTACACTCCTCACAGAAGTAGTAGTGCTTTAGATTATCATGTGTTTTGGCGTGCTGGACACGGATTTTAGGGCAATTGCAACCGAATACACACTGAGGGCACTGCCTGTCTTCGAATTCTGTATTTTTGAGACCTTTGATTTCCTCCATAAGTTTTTCCAGCCTGTCTTGGTGAATAATGATGTGGCTCATGAGGGAGTTGCTATCACAGAACAAACGCCCACACTCCCTGCATATAAAGGGCTGTGAAACATTCTCACTGTTCACCTGATTATGCTTGCCTAAATGATACATCATATGTCTATGGAAATGTACTTTTTCCTTGAAATTAACATTGCATCTTGTGCATGAAAAGAAAACTGTATCTTGTTCAACTTGTTCTGTCTTCAACTGTTCCACTTTTGGACTAAAAGTGTCTTCATCTTCAGGGTCATTTTCCTCATTACAGCCTTCCTGCGCTGCGCTATAAATATAGTGCTCAGAGTCTGAAGCTGTGCTCCTAGAAAGATCTTTGAATGGCACAACAGAATATTTAATATCAGACTGTGTACCCAAAGAATCATCTTTGTTGGCAATGTCAACATTTTCTACATCATTACCAGTGAGGAAACAGAAAGGTCTGTGTGTGTGATTTAAGCTGTTGTTAACCTTTTCTAGAGAACCTGACATACTTTTTACATGTGTATTGTGCTTCATGTCTCTTTGGTGCATCACATTGGTCTCCAGCCTTCTGTCATTGTGCAAGGAGCGCTTTCTTGCTGAATCCCATCTGATTACTTCAGGATCATCATAATCATCTGAGGAGCTTTCTGACCATTCTACGTCCCGTCGAGATCTTGTTTTCATTGTCTGTTCTGTCAAAGGTTGGCTAATGTGCATTTGCTCTGCACTGTCGCCTGACAGTGTGGAATAGGCCAGTTTAGACTCATTCTCCTCCGAGTGAGACAGTGGCGTGTTGACACCTGGCTGTGTGGCCAGTGTTTTTACGACGGGCCCCGCTGTGTTCTTCCAAGCGTCTGATTGAAGCTCACTAGGTGGTGGTAACACCTCGGGGCTTGTGTCCTTCTCCGCTTGCCACGCGGCATCCAGGACATTGTTGGATAAAACAGTGCCTTTGTTCAGGACACAGTGTACCTCTGAGTTGGGGTGTGAACCAGGTCCATTAACAAGTGCTCCTGAAGGCAATGAATTGCCTGCATGGGGAACAGCAGGGACACTGCTGTATACAAATGGATTCGGCTGGGTTCCATTTAAAGGGTTTTCGTGTTCATCTGAGGACAGACCTGCAGCATTGTTCTTCAGGGAGAATGTGTGACTCTGTAATGGCTCCTGAGTACGACCTGGGCTGTCAGACACAGATTCCACGTCTTTGTCCTCTTGTGCATTTGGCTTCGGATCAGACATAGTAGCAATACTTTCTGAAATATAAAAGAAAATCACAAAATGATTAAGCGTACTTAATCATTTCATGTAAGCAAAGTAAAGCAAGCAATGTCTTACAAGCATAATATTTCCTTTATTCAAGTGCAGTGTTCAACCATCCGAAGACAATTTGCAGAAAGAAATAATGCAGATGTAAATTACAAAATGAAACACTGTTGCACAACAGGTATAATAAAATCATGCTGATAATGTGGTACAGTTAAAAAAAATGTTTTTTCGGCTATTCTCCTTAAAATGAGAGTGGTATTATTCTGTGCCGCATTATGGTTTTCCAACACCCTCTTTCGCCACCTCTATTCACAACAAACCCTGCTGTTAGCCCTGAATACCCAGGCGAGGATGCTTAATTATGTGAGCGTACCTCTGGGATACAACCTTCCTGCTTCTCCACATAAAGTTCTCAGTCGTCTGCTAAAATTGACCAATTTCCATGGGAACAAAGTACACCTCCAATGAGATCATATCGCGTCTTATCACTCTGTGATGGTGCCAACACAGATCCCAGCATGAGACTGTTGTTACTTGAATCCCGACAAATTGGCAGGCACACAATCTGTCTAAAACACAAACACAGACCCACACAAAGAAAACATATGCCTTTGCGCATACACATACAATACATTATTTATTTCATATTTATTTAGACAAACCTATATAACTGAATGCTTTGAGTTAGTAATAAGATTATAACCAGCATGCAATTAAACATGTTTATGCTTCATCTTATAAGAGATCACACTATGCTGTCCAGAGCTGATTTAGTTTAAAATGTATGCTCAGTGGATTTGACATCCAGGGCTGGTCGCTCTCTACAGGAAGCTGCGTTGCTAACGAAGTGGTAAATTCAGTGTTAATGAGTCGCTTCACTGTTACCACCTCAGAGGTAAAACCTTCCGAGCTCCATATTCTCCCCATCTGTTGTGGTGTTAGAGGTTCGAAAGGGGAACAGACGCTCCGCATTTAAAGCGAACTTCACTGTTACCCCCAAACGGCAGGGTGGCAAAACCATCAAAATATCTTGGTTCAAAATGTGTAAGCCTCATTAGCAGCCAACTCACACAACTCGCTTCTATATATATATATATATATATATATATATAAAAAAACGAACAGGGGTTCAACAGAAATTTATTTTTTAAAAATTCATTTGCTTCTATTTACTTCATTTAGTCAATGTTAAAAGGCTGACTTTGCCTTGCCTGAAGATATTTACAGGGATTATGAGCTTTAATACAGTTAAGCTGTATGCACAGATCAATCTGCTATGAGCTTTTACTCACCCCGTCTGGTAGTTTCCCCAAGACACTTTTCAGTTTGGTAAATGAGATTTAGGAGAAGCGTCATCATTGTTTACTGTTAGTACAATAGAAAACAAACTAGAACACCTCACAGTTATGTATTGAGCAGCTTTTGACTTTTTTTTACTTCCTTTTCTGTTTGCAAGTTGTATTTCTCAAAACCTTGAAATGGTCAGGTAAAATACAGTTACCATTTTATTAGGTACACCTGTACAATCTGATGTAATCCAATACAACAGCCCTGCATCAGAGTGGTTGAGGTTGTGGTTATTGGTGGTCTTTTACTAAATTAAATTATTGTATTATTTTATATGTATATTATACATACTTTATTTAGAGGTTTTTCTAATATTCTGCTCCATCATGTACAATATGTGAAAAGGACAAAATATAAAAATAAAATCTAGCCAACTATTAAGATAACGATTAAACATTTTGAGTAATTTTTAAGAAAGAATTTTCAATTTCTTTGATTTCACTTATTTTCTTTAGTCCTCTATGACAGTAAACTAAATATCTTTGACTTGTCAAGACATTTGAGGACGTCACCTTGAGATTTGGGTTTTTCACCATTTTCTGACATTTTAGGGACAAAACATCTAATCAATTATTGGGAAACTGATCAACGGGTTAATCAATAATGAAAACAGAACCAACACCTGCGTTACTAGAAACAGACATAATAGGCTTTACTAAGATAAGATTTATTGTAAGGTTGTTGTATTAGATTGCATTGGATTGTATAGGTGTATGTAATAAAACTACATAAAAATAAAAACAGAAAAAAATGAAATCACCTCAACTTATGCGGTTAAAAGGAACTCATGCAGCATGCTCTGATAGTTGGTGGGCTGGGAAGCCTGCCATGTACTCACATCAGTATGGCTTTGAGTCTAGCTCAAAACCTCAGTGCATGTCAAACCCTTTTCTCTTTCATCTTCCTATCATTCTCCACAGTGCTAATTTCATGGAAATGCCTTAACATTCAACATGCAAAAAAAAAAAAAAAATTCTCATTTACTTGTTTCATTACTCTAAGCAGTAATTTTATGTGTGTTCTTAAAAGCAAGTCAAAAATCTGCTTCCACTCTCAATGACACTGAGTGCAAAGGTCAAGCATTATTGTAGGAGCTGTCAATGTAATTTTGTCACTATTTTCTCATCTACATTTAAACATCCTCCTTTAAGGTTGAAATCTGAAGTAGTGTGAAGACGACATCCTGGTCTTTCTTGTCAGGTTCTAATACTGACACACAGGAACCTGGGCTTCATTCAATTCATAAAGACATTTCATGAGAACAAGAGGCGTAAGTGTATATAAAATATATATAAATAAAAGTGTGGAAAACAATTTTACAACAATCAATATAACCCTCTAATAAAAGTTAGTCATTATCGTGGGACTGCAACTAACAATTATTATCATTATCAAATAAATTCACTATCTATTTCTCAATTAAAAGATTAATTGTTTCATCCATAAAATGTGAAAAATGGTGCTCACTGTTTTCCAAAGGCCATGGGGAAGTCCTCAACTGGCTACTTATAATTGATTAAGATAGAGTGCAGGGTTCTGACTGAGGAAGGAAGAAATGCTGGACTACGGAAGATGTTAATAAAGATAGCTTGAGTTAGTAACAATAACCTGAGATGAGGACAGTAACAAACAGGATGCGGAAGCTGAGACCTCAGAGGAAGAAGCATGAGTTGAGGATAAGCACGAAGAAAATAATGATACTGTCAGTAGTCAGCTTGGGGTCACAGATAACATGTAATCACTTGTTTTTAAAAAGTATATAAATGAATGAATGAATGAATGAAACATCAAAGCTAACACTGTCAGTGATTTCGCCAACCCATTGATGGTGAGATGATGGACAGGAAAACTGTAGAAATGTACACTGTATATGCAGCTTTTGCACCTGCAGTTGTACTCTGACTAGGTCCTAGATTACTTAAATGACTCTACACAGACAGAATTTACTTTATTAATATACATTCTGTTTATTTTTTGATATTTTTGTGTTGTTTGTGGATGTAAAACAGCAGAGAGTACAGTTAACACAGAAATAGCAGTCAAGAGCTGATACAATTAGTCAATTAACTGATTGGTCAGTTGACTGAAAATCTGCATTTGTTTGAGTCAGTTATCAGGAAATAATGCAAAACACGTACCCGGTTCCAGATTCTTAAATGGGAGTATTTCCTGCTTATTTCTGCTTTATATCATTGTAAATGGAAACTTTTTGGGTTTTGGGCTGTTGGTTGAACAAAACGAGCTATTTGACCAAGTCATCTAAGAAATATTTAATGGACAGGCAACAATTAGAAAATAATCTGCATATCAGTCGATAGTGAAAATACTTGTTACTTGCAACCCAAGAAAAAATATATGTATAAAAAAATTGTGACAATTATTTTAATGCAAAGAACTGAAATAGCTCAACTTGAAGTCTTATGAGGACAACTTTCAGATTAAGGAGGAAGAGTTTGGCGCTGTAGGCTTGTAAGGCTGTGAATGTCTAAGCAAATTCCTTTTTCCTGTTCAACTGAAGACCCAGGCTGGCAGCACAGTGGAAACAGCCCTAAAAACCAACTGGGACCAGTCAGCCAAACCATTTCAACTGCTGGAGCTGTCTGTATGGATCAACAGCCAACCTTATATTCCTCTGCCATCGCCTTTGCTGGAGAAATGTCTAAACAAGGGGAGCCGCAGTCCCTCAAGTACTGCACTACACAACTTCCTCAGCTAATGGGATCTATTGATTTATTTGACACAATGTGAATTTATGAAGCTGCCTCTTAAGTGTGAGAGTATCAAAGTGTGGCTCAAAACAAACAGAGATTCAGCTTGACACTCCAGTAATCCCAAGGTGAGTATGTTCTCTCAGCGAAGGTGCCACAGCGAAAAGAAAAAAATACACACTGTTAAGTTCTTCTGCTATTTTAGCCCTGCAGTTCTATCCACAGTATCACACACAGAAAAGCAGGAAGAAATTAGCAACACAACACAATACGAATCTCACTTTCCTCATTGTGACTAAGTTTGTTTGGCAGAAGAATGTGAAACAAAAAAACACAACAATAACAGATTCAAGGACCCTTAATTTCTTACATTTGCAAAGGAGAAAATAAAGAGAGTGGCTTCACACGATGTCTTTGTCTGGATTACATACTCTTTTATCCCACTGAATTCTTGTCACCCAAAGGTCATTTCCATAATAATGGTCTCCATTCTCCCTAATGGGATTTTGGCTGTGATTATGTATGCCAGCGTCTTGTGCAGACACTATCAGCCCTGTCATCCTGAACTGCACAAATGTAATTACACAAAGCCTTTGATAACTAAATAACGTAATTTACTGCCTGAGTGAAAATATATATTGGAGTAATATGACTCAAATTATATGCTACAAGAAAACATATGAGTACCATAGGTGGTATGTAGCAAAAAAAAAATCTTTATAGTAAGAACAAATTAAATGCTAATGCACGCTTTAACAGCAAGAATATTAGTGTCTGTTCAAGCGATTTAAGAAAAGATTCACAGAGAAGTACAACTGGAAGTGGTATCTTAAAGAAGTATTAGTAGTTTGACGTCTTTGGCAAATACAGTACTCTTATTCGCTTTCTTGCTAAGAGTTAGATGAGAATATAGCACTCTCAGTCTGGCTGCT